TTCCTCCATCCGTTCTACACATCAATCACTGATCCATCCATCCACTGATCAATCCATCTATCCATCCATCGATTCCATCCATCCATCAATTAACTCGATCCATTGATCTGTACATCAACCACTGATCTATCCATCCATCCATCCACTCATTGATCCATCAAGCCATCTATCTATCCATCAAGCCATCCATCTATCCATCAAGCCATCCATCTATCCATTGATCCATCCATCAATTCATCCGTCGTCCATCCATCCAGCCATCCATCAATTAATACCTCCATCCATTGATCTATACATGAACCACTGATCTGTACATCTATCCACTGATCCATCCATCTATCCATCGATCCATCCATCCACCCATTCATCCATCCGTCAATTAACTCCATCCATTGATCTGTACATCAACCACTGATCCATCCATCCTTTGATCCATCCATCCAGGCACTGATCCACTGAGATATCCATCCATCCACCCATCCACTCATTCATCCTTCCATCCACCCATTGATCCATCAAGCCATCTATCTATCCATCAAGCCATCCATCTATCCATTGATCCATCCATCAATTCATCCATCCATCAATTAATTCCTCCATCCATTGATCTGTACATGAACCACTGATCTATCCATCTTTCCACTGATCCATCCTTCCATCGACCCATTGATCCATCAAGTCATCTATCTATCCATCCATTTATCAATTAATCCTTCAGTCCATTGATCCATCAATTTACCTATCAATCCATCCATCCTTCCATCCATCCATCTATCCATTCATCCAAATTTTAGATTTTACAAAATAAATTGTTTGATGTTTAAGTTTGATGTGCTATGCAAACATTGTCAGTTCCAAAACATATCGTTCACTGCCCAGTCCGAAAGTCCATTTCACACACCAGTTATAAGGAGTGTTTCAACCCGACTGCTTTTTGAATGAGGCAGAATTGGGATCATTTACATATCAGTATTACAAACAAGTAACAAAGCAAGCCTGTTTAATTTTAAGGTATGAACAGCTTAGAGAAATCGGTCATGTAAAAAAAGAATTATGACTGTTCTGGTGCACAAACCCACACAGACCTTACCAGTAAAAAAATAATAAGAGAAATATAACACATTTACCACGTCTGCACGGTTTGATTCAGGCATACAGGCTTCTATTATGTGTTAGCGACATTAGCCGTGTAATCAGTGCAAAACTAAAGAAACAAACTTCAGTTAGCAAGCATGTCCTGACTGATGGACTACAATGGAGGTAAGGAAGGGGGGAGTGATTTTGACTCTTAGCCAACCACCAAACCATCACTTCTGAAAAACGGACTGAAAAATTTGAAAGCTCATCATGTTCATGCAGACGAACAGTAATTCATCCACCAATAAAGTACATGCTGCTAAACTGACTGCTCTGATCATGCTGCTCTTTTCTTTCTTTCATTAAGTTGTCACCTCGCATAATTTTACTTGACGCTAACTAAGAACATGTGCAGGGAGGAACAGAGCCTTTCAAACAGCCTGAAGCCGGAATCGTGACGCTAGTTTTGACGTTTATGAGGTTTGGCCCAGTGACGGCTGTGGCAAAATCCAGCCAGTCAAAATAATTCCTGTCTAATTCTCTGGAGAGGGCGGTTCAGCACTGGATCCTACAATTTGTATGTTTTTAGACAGGACCTTGAACTGTATGTGGTATCTGTCACACGGAAGTATGCTTTCGGTCCTAAAATGTGGTTCAGAACAGAGCTGCAGAATGAACGGGTACTGGACATGAACCCAGCCTGGCTGCCTGGCTGGACGTCTACAGCTATGCAGAGTTTCAAATATTTGGTTGAAACTCAACTCTGCACGAATGTGGCTTTCAAGAAGTAAGTGTGGGCACTCAGTGAGACAGTTAATCAGTTATGTCTCGTCCTGATAACGTCCAGATAAGACTTCCACATTCCATTTATACCTGGTCACCTACTGAACTGACCCTCTTGCTGGTGATCCTTTGGGTGTGTTCATGTTTGTCGCCTTTTACTGATTATAGTCTGCAACCAGAGTAGGTGGTGAGTGTTCATCTCCATGTTGGTCAGTAAAATGGGTCAGCATGTGGAACTGGAGCTTTCTACCATGTAGGGTACGTGGGTAGTAACTAGTTACATGTACTCAAGTACATGTACTTACACCAATCAGGCATAACATTCTGACCACCTCCTTGTTTCTACGCTCATTGTCCATTTTATCAGCTCCACTTACTATATAGGTGCACTTTGTAGTTCTACAGTTACAGACTGTAGTCCATCTGTTTCTCTGATACTTTGTTAGCCCCCTTTTACCCTGTTCTTCAGTGGTCAGGACCCCCATGGACCCTCACAGAGCAGGCAGATCATTCTCAGACACTCCTACCTTGTCGGTCCACCTTGTAGATGTAAAGTCAGAGACGATAGCTCATCTGCTGCTGCACAGTGTGTGTTGGTCATCCTCTAGTCCTTCATCAGTGGTCACAGGACGCTGCCCACAGGACGCTGTTGGCTGGGTGTTTTTGGTTGGTGGACTATTCTCAGTCCAGCAGTGACACTGAGGTGTTTAAAAACTCCAGCAGCACTGCTGTGTCTGATCCGCTCAGACCAGCGCAACACACACTAACACACCACCACTACGTCAGTGTTACTGCAGTGCTGAGAATGATCCACCACCCAAATAGTACCTGCTCTGTGAGGGTCCATGGGGGTCCTGACCACTGAAGAACAGGGTAAAAGGGGGCTAACAAAGTATCAGAGAAACAGATGGACTACAGTCTGTAACTGTAGAACTACAAAGTGCACCTATACAGTAAGTGGAGCTGATAAAATGGACAATGAGCATAGAAACAAGGAGGTGGTCATAATGTTATGCCTGATCGGTGTATGTAATATTTCCCATTTTGAGGTGGTATTTATCTTATTTCTAGACACTTTTTCTTGTTTTATGTGATTTTATTAAGTAAAATTGTCTCACTGTACTGGCAGATAATTTTCAAGCACATTTTTAAAACAAGCAAGATTATTTGCCAATATAGTGAGATAATTAGAAGTAAAAAATATGCAGAAATGAGGTAAATAATCTTAAATTAAGATTACAACAATCTCAACAGGAGAAATATTAGATTTATTGACTATTTTTAAGATAATTTTACTTGACAAGACACCATTGTTTGCAGAGTATATTAAAAGCCACAAACTGAGATATTTAATGGAACATAAAATAATAACCAATCCAGTGAGCATGTGTTCTTTAACTTAGCTAAAGCAGCGATGAACGCCAGTTCCATTCCCGAAATGGCCACAATCTCAAAATACAGTGGTCAGGTGAAAAATAAGGTGGATAGGACCGACCTGTAGCATTAAGCTGTGTAAATGTTGCCATGGTGACAGCATTACTGTAATAATAATACTGTAATACTGTAATTTTCCATTGCTGCCCCGTTGAAAGAATCAATATCTGGTTTGTTGTCGTAATGTAAACGCGGCATGTGTGTAAAGATCGCAGGTCCCGAGTGACGCAACTGTCTAAGCGTTAGCTTTATTGTCAGGAGATCCTGAGGTCAATCTCAGACGATGCCACAGCCATCCATGGTCAACAGAGTCTATTCAGCCTCTCTCTCTCTCTGTCTGGGTGAGTAAGGTGGTCCTCCCTCTCCCCCCATCACTCAGCAAGATGCTAGCCAACATGGGCGTCTGTTAGCTGATGTAACAGAATTAGCAGTTAGCGTTCTCCTCCAAGCTAGTTAAGCTGTTTAACCTTTAGAACCCTGGAATTTTGTGGGTATTTTGGGTTAATTACAATTACAGTTGCAATTTTAAAGTATTTACATGAGACAGTCACACATGCAACATGTTGTTATTTTCAGGAGACCCTGGGCTACTCAGACATGCTATTATTTGACATGTAAATACTAACAGAAATGTGATATCTTTATGATTTTGGCTAATCTTTGATCAAAAATTAAATTTTGTAATTTTTTACTTAAAAATCAAGTGGAATTGTAGTTATGTTTTCAGAAATTGTTAGTCTGGAGTGTCTGTGAGCTCAAAGTGCAAGAATTTGATGATTATTCAGTCTATTAGTTATTATGAGTAAAAATAAACAATTAGCATAAGGCGGCCACATTTTTTTTTATTGATTTTCTGTCCTTTTGGATTCGTGCTGAGTGCTAAAACTCTGATACACAGCAAGACAGCCTTTATTTTTAATCATAAATTGAGTTGCATATTTAATATCAGATATTTTTAATACTCAGAATCAATATAAACTGAAAGACAGAGCTAAATATTATTAATTGTATAATAATATTTGTCATATTTCTTGTTATTTATCTGTTAAAATGTGTTTTAGGGCCTGTTTGTGTGATTTTGAGGGGAAGAGGGAAAGTGCACTCAGTGTAGTGGACTGGGTCACTGCATTTGTTGCCTTTTTTTTGCATTTTGTCCAGCCCTCCCTAACTCTCTCAGCTCAGCAGCATGCACTGACAGCATGGCTAGTGGTTAGCCTCAATTTTATACATGGTTTGAGCCATTTTTCTGTGTATTCAGCTGTAAATTTCTGATTATCAGCACTAAACGCGGAGTCTAAGTCAATCAGAGGACTGTTTGAGACACGAGGAAAAGTTCTAGATTCGTACACATGCAGTCAGCCATTTAAACTGGGCATTTAAATGGAGGTAAACACAGGATCTAAACGGTGGTTTTCTGAACTGGATTACTGACTGGATCTTCGCTAAAACTTCAGAAAGTCACTCCGGACACACAGGGTAAGTCCTGCTGAGCCGTGAATTGCGTGGCTGTTTTAATGACGCCGCGTTAGCAGCAGTTTGAAAAGATACGGTACAGCTTCACATGCTCTCAGAGGAAGCTCGGGAGCTTGGTAGCGTTGTGTGATGGTGGGGAGACCGATTAAGCAATCAGAACTGGACACAGCTAAATTAGGGACAAAGACCCCAGAACTGTTTATAAGTGCAAAGGACAGACGATTCCATCTCACCATAAACTCGTACAGTCTTGCTGTCCTGGACTGTGGAGCGACCGTTGGAGGCCTGGACGGTGACGGACACCTCGCCCTCTTCAGGAAACCGTGTGAGCAAGCTGTTCTCTAAGGTCAGCTTCGGCTGAGAGGGGCAAAAACATTGAGGACTCACATTAACATCAATAATAAACAAAATATCCCAAACTTGACCTTCGGAATAGTTTTGGCTCTTTTAGTTTCGCCACTTTTTTAGCTCTTTTGAAGAGGCTGCTGCACCAGTTGTTGTTGTGGTGGCAAATATGGCAGCTTAATTATGTTTATTAAATATGAACAGACATATGAACATTTTCAGGGGGTGCTGGGATTTTTTGGCAACACAAACAGCATAACAAATGCATGTTTTACGACTTCGGACCTCATCTTCATTATATGGTTGAAGTATGAGGAGAGACTGTAGGAGGAGAGAAAACTCAGAGAGCTTGGGTTGGAACTGTGGGGGGGCTTTTGCTCTGGGCTAGAAGGCCAGACCTCCCCCCCTTTTTCTGATGAACAGAGGTAAGACTGAGGAACAGGGAAGAGAAGGAGTGGTGGCGGGTTTCGTCACAGGACACAGAAGGCAAAGATGGAAGTTTATTTGAAGAAGGAGGAGCCTCAGGCGTCCAAACCTCCATCCAAACTTTAGTCATTTCATAACTCTGTTTAATGCTGAGGCTGCCAGGACTGGTTGTGGACTGTGAGCAGAAGTTCTGTGCTCTCCGGCGCACACAGAAGAATTTCTATGACTTTTTAAAGGTAAATAATATTAAATAGAACAAGCAGCAAGTGTTTCAATCAGAGCTTTCTAACTTCATCTGTTTATTTATTTGTTTATTTTTCATCACGTTATTTTGAGCATCCCATATAGATTATCTAGAGCTTCTCAGTTTATTAGAAAACCAGCTGGTTGATTATTCACATCAAGGTTAGGTTTCGGTGTAGGTTTTGGGCTGAAAGTAAGGTTAAGAGATTTAATGGAATCTGTTTGATTCAACTTACAATTTTTTGTACACAGTCTAAGAACACAGTTTACCTTGTGTGAAGATTTCATGATGAACTGACCAACAGAAATGGTCCAGAATGTGTTTTTAGATTAACTTACATTAAAATTTAGAGTTGCATATATGGTGCATATATTCAACGTTTTGTTGATTTTCACCTCTGATACAGAGACACACTTCTGCACATTTTAAAGCACAATTATTGTTTATTTACTGAAATATATATATGTATATATATATATATATATATATATATATATATATATATATCATATATCCATCCATCATCTAAACCGCTTATCCTTCTGGGTCACGGTGGGGTGCTGGAGCCTATCCCAGCTGTCATTGGGCGGAAGGCAGGATACACCCTGGACAGGTCGCCAGTCCATCGCAGGGCAGACAAACAGACATACACATTCACACCTAGGGGCAATTTAGCACGTCCAATTGGCCTGACTGCATGTTTTTGGACATCCTACATATATATGTATATATATATATATATATATACACATATATATATATACATATATATACACACACACACACACATATATATATATATATATATATATATATATATATATATATATATATATATATATATATGCTGTTGTTGGAACAAAATCTCCAAAATTACAACTTTACAGGAGAAGGAAAAAACCTTCTTTACTTTCAATGTAAGTCAATGGAACCAGACTTTTTTCTAAGTTGTTTTTGGCCATTTCTTTTGGTTTGTTCATCATGAAATTTTGAGACAACATAAAGGGCAACATAACCCCAAAAATGGATATATATATATATATAGCTGCTGTTGGAAGAAAACCTTGTATCTCCATTTTTGTCGTTTTTTAGTTTTTGGCACAATTTGAAAATACCTGTTGCTCTTTATATTGTGTGTAAATTTCATGATGAAGGAACCAAAATAAATGGCCAAAAACAACTTAGAAAAAAGTCTGGTTCCATTGACTTACATTGAAAGCAAAGACGGTTTTTTCCTTCTCCTGTAAAGTTACCATTTTGGAGATACAATGTTTTCTTCTGACAACAGCGATGTATTCCTGATACGTTAAACTGTAGAAAATGTAGAAATTGTGCAGTAAAATTTGCAGACAAATGTCCTATTTAAGTTTGTTGCTCATGAAACTTGTGCTTTGCTACTTTATACTCTTATCTGTTGAGAAAAGTCTGTCACTCAAATCATATCTGGTCAGCGATGACCGATGATGAATGTGGTAGTGGGTGATCCTCTCTTATGAAGGGTGAATGAAGGCAGAGGTACCTGCAGGTCATCTCCAATCCACCAGTAGAAGACGGTGAGGTTAGCGTCTGCAGGAAGCACTACGGCCGTCAGGTTGACCAGCTGGTTCCTGCCTGCGATGGGAACCACTTCCAGATGGACTTCCTGCAGAGGTGCTAAACATGAGGAGTTAGAGTCACGCTGAGGCTTCCAAGAACGTCATTAGCATTTCAGGCAACAGTTTCACTCAATTCAGTGCAAACAGGAGCTCAGAAAGCTGCTCGAGCGTTAAATGTAGGGTTTTCAGGGTTTAGTGTTTTTCTCTCTCTTACCCAAATGATTCTGCACCCCTTATTGCCGCACAGCTGCTGAATCGCACCTCTCAGTGCTCACTGTTTGGTATGTTTTTGTATGTTTAATGCAGTCATGTTTGGATTTTCATTTAAGGAGAAGCCAAACTTCCACATTGACTGTAAAGTTGATGTAATCTTATCTCATATATTGAGTACAGTTCATAAAATTTGGGCACTTTTTTCACCAGATTACCACTCGACCATGGACGTTTGCCGTAATCTGTTGCAGAAAAATTACTGGCCAGTCAAATGAACTTGTGTGAAAGCACAAGATTACGAAGCAGGGATGCCCAGACTTTTTGTCTTGGTGAGCCAAGTGCTATGGGCTGAGGGTCAAAGAGACAAACCAGTAGTAAAATAAAGACATAAAATTTGTTTTATAACATTAACACAATATTTTGATACTAAATATTTAAAAAAAAGCATGAAATATGTGGAGTTGGTGGTTTAGGGTGACTTTCTTTGACTTCAAACGTCCTTACAGGTCACTCTTTGGAAAGCCCTGCATCTCCCAACAACGGCTCACAAACCAATCCCGAGTTAGTTTGTTTGCTCTGCATATTTGGATGTTTTTCATACTGTAACACGCCTGTTAATTAACCAGTCAGCTGATTGATGTGGGTGGGTTAGAGTGGGGGAAGCAGGACAGAGAGACTCCTGGTGTAAGTGAATGTAAACTGAGTCACTTACTGGTGACCTGGATGTAGAGCGTGGCTCGGTCCTGGCCGGCAGAGTTCTCGGCCTGAACGCTGACCCGATACACCCCCGGTTTCTCGTAACGATGCTGAATCGGCTCATCGGTCACTGTCAGGTTCTCATAGATGGCCCTGACTCCGTCCCACAGATCCACCTGGTACCTAGTGCTGCTGGTGTCTCCCTGAGAGAGAGGGAGAGAGAGAGAGAGAGAGAGAGAGAGAGAGGGAGTGTGTTACAGAGCGCTGCATAAGAACACAGTCATACACATAATCACTGTGAGTCATATTACTGTTTATTTGCTGAGTTTAACATACCTAAAAACATAAAATCTAAAATGTGCCGTAACTTTTGCACAGGCAATATTTGATGTTTGACTTTTTTCCCAATGCGTTTAGTTCAGCAAATTAACAGTCATTGTAAATAACTGTAAAAGAGTAAATAATAGTAATTGTGTATTAAAATGTGCAGAAGCGTGTCTCTGTAGAGGTTGGGTTCATTTAGATACACTTAACAGCAAAATGGAATTTGACCAGGGGTGCACAAACTTTTGCACACCATTGTTGTTATATATCATTCAATATTTAGCATTTTGCATTTGCAGGTTGCCGTCATTTACATGACCAAAGCAACTACTGTGACACAAACAGTAATAATAAGAATCAAATTTGGCATTTTTTTTAATAAAAAGAAAAATATCAATATAATATCATTATATAACAACAATCAAAGAGACTGAAAATTAGAAAACAAACTGAGAATATTATCACTGTAATACTTAATTACACTTCACTGTAATACAGAGGCTAACTATATATATATATATATATATATATATATATATATATATATATATATATATCTTTGTCAATGAAGAAGCCTACAGGCAACACACTCTACCTGTTCCTGATGGACAACAAAGGTGATGTCATCACCAGGTGCGACGGTGAGCATCTGTCCTTTAATGCCCAGCTGCAGGCCTCTGGGGGGCAGCAGAGGGCAGGAGTGCTGCTTGGCGCTCTGTTCTTTATTGGTGCCACCTTCACACACGTTAGAGACCACCTTACGGTAGCTACACAGAGAAACACGCAGTGTTAGTGTTGGTGTTGATTCTTCTTCAGAGACATTAATGAGACGGTTAGAAACTGAAACAGCACCCCTGCTGCCCAGGACGAGCAGTGATGCAGAAAAACACTAACTCACACAGTTTCTCCCCTCTCAGCCCAGACGTAGTCAATCAGCCAAGACACGTTTGGTGTGTGAAGCTCCTCTGTTTAGTTCTGCGCTGGAGCTACGAGGCTAATGCTAAGCAGTAAAGGACTGTTCACCGTGCTCAGTGTGTATCAGAGTGTCACACAGTGTCAGAAGCCACAGACGCAGGTCTGTTAGACATCCCTGATCAAGCTGATGTGATCTGAGAGAAGTGTGCGATGATGTAAGTGTGCAGTTTCTTGTTAGCTAGATTAGCCTCATACTTCAGACACCCAACATGTCTTGGATGACTGACTACATTTGGGTTAAGATGGAAAACTGTGTGTGTTTTTTCTCTGAAATATTCCTTCAAGAAATATCCCCGAAAGCGAGAGGATAGTGGACCACTGGCGGCCCACGGATGGCAAAGCTGGTGGTCCACTGCCGTTTTGCTCAGCCTTTTCTGGGCGGTCCACAGGTGCTTAAGCAGAATATTAGACCAAATTCCACTTATCATCACTCATTTGCCCCTCACAGTCCAATTTATTGATATTTAGTTATACTTTGTAAATTAGTTTAGTAAATAATTTTAATCCAGCTTTTCTATATCCAACATTTTCTATAAAATCATCCTATATCAGGCCTAGTCATTATTTTTTTTTCCCCCCTCATTCGTTTGTAATATTTGTCTAAGTTTATTTTCCAAAATAAAAGTCTCTGTGCATTTAAAATCTGTTTGAGGAGATTAAAAAATAGTTAAAACTTGCATGCAGGACAGTAATCTGGGTGGTCCAAGGGTGGACCAGCAGTGACAAACAGTCAGTGGGCTGCCGACCTTATCGTGCCAGCGGACCGATATGCGCTCGCTAACTGGGTGTGGTGCTTACATTCAAGATAAATACCATTTTAAAGTGAGCCGATGATACATTTGAGTGAGACCGCTCTGTTGTTGTAGTACCACGATTAGCCTCCAGGTGGCAGCAGATACTGACTGGAGTTTCAGCAAGACAGTCACCTTTGTTTACAGCTTGTGTTCGAACATAATGTCACTGTCATGGCAAGTATTTCATATGTTTGAAAGAATGAATTGTAGCGCGCTTTTAATGTTTGTGTGGTTTTATGTAACGAAAACAGTCATTATTCATTTCTTCATGACTGTTTTCCTCTCTTTAACCCGTAGAATTAAACAGGCTGCTTATGTTGCTGGACCTCAAACACTGATATATGTAAATGAGCTCTGTTCTGATTGCCTGTGCCTCATTCTAAAAGCAGTCTGGGCTGAAACACTCCTAATAACTTCATTATGAGTGGACGGGGGCAAATTGCTGCATGCAGATTTATGTAAATGGATTGTTTTCCATGACCTCACAAAAAAACAGTGAATGCAAAACAGGCCGTTTTTGCAGGTTATTTCCATTAACGTAACAAGATTATATTCTAAATCACCTTGGACCATTTTTATCGGTCCATACATCATGAAATTTTAACACAAAGTGAAGGCAAGATGGCATTTTTAATTTATACAGTGTAGCTAAACAAATAAATAAATAAAGATAAAAATGGACATGTGAGGTGCTATTTTGACAGTGACGGTACCCAAGTCCTTTTGGAGCCGTTCCTGTGGGTCCACATGCCATGAAATGTTCACACAACATAAAGAGAAGCCAGTGTTTTCAAATGATGATGAGGTTTTGACGTGACAGTGATGATTAGCATGATGATGAGCTTATGCTGAGCTTGTTTGAACACATTTGAAGATGGAAAAGAAAGTAACGGTCAGATTCTCCAACATGCATGTGCTTAAATACGTTCAGAGTCTATCCTGCTTAGTATTCAGTACAGAGTCTGCCTCCAGCACATTTCCACATAGGACGAGCTTCATGTAAAACCGTGGGTGTACATGTGTGTGTGTCCTGTTTTCAGAATGAGAGACCCCCGGAGAGCCCCCTTCCTACCGTCATGCTCTGCTTAACACAGCTGAAATCCCATCACTTACTGTGTATGTGTGTGTGTGTGTGTGTGTGTGTGTGTTACCCTGTGCTAGACTCGTAGGTGTGCCCCAAATGGCAGCTATCGGGTGGAGCGTCCGGATCGTGCCAGAAATCGGGGTAACAGCGGTCGCCTTCTGCCTTCAGACTAGGAGCCCTCTCAAAGCCGTAATCACTACAACACACGAACAAAACCCACAGTAAGTGGAAGTACAAGATGAGTGTTTCTAATAAAGTGGCCAGTTAGTGGAAGTACAAGGTGGGTGTTTATGATAAAGTGGCCAGTGAGGAAAAATATAGTTAGGTGTTTCCAGTAAAGTGACCAGTTAGTGGAAGCACAAGATGGGTGTTTCTAATAAAGTGGCCAATTAATAGAAGCACAAGGTAGGTGTTTCTAATAAAGTGGCCAGTTAGTGGAAGCACAAGGTAGGTGTTTCTAACAAAGTGGCCAGTTAGTGGAAGCACAAGGTAGGTGTTTCTAATAAAGTGGCCAGTGAGTGGAAGCACAGGGTGGGTGTTTCTAATAAAGTGGCCAGTTAGTGGAAGTACAAAGTAGGTGTTTCTAATAAAGTGACCAATAGTGAAGTATAAGGCAGATGTTTCTAATAAAGTGGCCAGTGAGTGTAAATGCCCTGTTTATTTTGTCTTATTTAAAATTTGATATGGTTTTGAAAACACCACGATCTGATGTTAATGAAACGAGTCTACGAGCTCAGACAGGCTTTTCCTCAGTAAACACTGTCTGTCAATGCAAGAAAAGCCCTTTATCTGCCGCTGCTTGATCACTCATGGTGGCCTCGCGTACAAAGAGACCCACTGTACTGATGGAGAGGCAGGAGGTTCTGTACCAGTTGAAGTCTTTCTCAGTGCACTGACAGGGTTTGGCTGTCAGCGCTGATGTGTAGCTCTTTCCCTTAATGCACAGAGACGACTCCTTCCTTTTCCTGTACGTTCGCTCCTGGCCCATGATGCAGTGCTCTCCCTGTGGAACGAACAAGACGTTACTTCACAGCATCAAGCAGAAACAAACGCCTTCATCAGTCAACTGCTGTGGAACAGACAGCCTGTGAATTTACTGTGTCCAATAACAAGAGAAGCTCCAGAGGTTGGAGGGAGATTTTTGAAGCTGTTGTTCAGCCAAAAAATCAAATTACCATATTTTTTTCACAGTTTTCTCTTTAATGCAGTCGATCAGCCAAGACGTACTTGCCATCTGAAGTTTACTTCTTCAGTTTTGCACTGGAGCTACGAGGCTAATGTGGCCAACAAGTAATAGAAACCTACACTCCATTAGGCGATACCTGCAGGTTGGTGAGTTTCCAGGAGTCGTAGTCGTCCTCTGTGCACTGTCTGGGGAAGGACTGACGGAAGTCCACCTTCACCAGCTCCCAGTCCGAACGATAGCTGATGTGACCAAACACCCTGCACACACACAAACACATTACACAAACGTGCAGGCGTTCGGAAAAAGAGAGGAATACAGCCTAAACTGACAGATCCTGGACATGTTAAGAAGTTCCACTGCTGTTCCTCACCCATGGACACTTAAGGAACCATTTGCATGCTTTAAGGGTACCTCGCATGGTGAATGATTCTTGATGGAGAATGTGTTCTCAACCAGCGGGCCGCAGACCACCAGTGGGCCGTGAAGCACTCTCTAGTGGTCCGCGGGCCTGAACTCAGGGGAAGACAGTCGTTCGTAGTGGGCTGGTAGAGACGTATAAACAAAAACCACGCAGTCTCAGGCTAATCAGACGCCATCAGTTTGAGACGATGCAGCTGCCGGTGCGCTGTTAGCCAGAGACTGATGCGTTCCTCATGGTGTTCCTCATGGGTTCCTACTTTGTTCGGTGTGGACCCATCAAACTTTTTTTCTAGTTCACTCCATTTTGACATGTGTGAACTCCACCCGTATTTGGGTCTGAAACAAACAGCTGAAACCCACGGGTCTTGGTCTGCTTCCAACCCATGCATTTTATGCATTTTATGGGAATGCATTTTATGATGAAACGAGGGAAATTCATCAGCAGGGCCGGCTTTCCTCTTCTCCTACCACGTCAGTATAATCTGCCTGGTTTAACGTCTGATTTATTGCTCTAATGTCGTTCCTTCAGCTCGAGCTGCGGCTGATAAAAACGACAGACGAGCCATAAAATAATAGATAAACTAATGACAAAGAAGCAGAGATCAAGATTATTATTGTTGATTGTAGCGACGCTGATCCCAAAGCGTGAGTGGAGTGAGGTTTATTTCAAATGAGGCGCTAAAACCCGCAAAACTAAAGAGACTCCAGACCAAACAGTGACTCCTGTGGGAGCCACAAGAGTATTTTCAGTGGAATCGCGATGGACTGCAGCTCTACAGCTCTATATCTACCTTTTTTCTCTTTCCCCTTTTTTTACATCTCTGCAAACTTTTTTTTATTTTTTTTTTAAACACTTATGTTTTTTAACATCACTGCAATTTTGGTTTCTGTGATTGAAGTGAAATGGACTGATCTGATCTTTTTCAGGTGCTAATTCACAGGTTTTCAGTGTGAGCAATTACGACAAAAAACCTATTTAAAAAAAGCTGATTTAGTTTTTCTGTGGGCCGCTATGCTTTAAAGTGATAAACAGGTGGGCCTTGGGGTGAAAAAGGTTGAGAACCCCTGTTCTACATAACACCAAAAAGGGTTCTTTTATTGTTACAAGCTTGACATCATGCCAATAAAAGAAACGCTTGTGCTATCTTCCCTTTTCAAAAATATCTGACACATTCTCCATCAGTCTGGAGAACCAATTCACCATGCAAAGAACCCTGTAAGCCTGTAAATGGGTGGTCTTTGGAGAGCACTGTGTCAGTGTGCTCTGGGATAAAAAGCCACCAAACATCAAACAGCATCATTTACATGTTAACAACAGCCCTTCACTACCAAACGGCTTAGAAAAGTTACAGAAAAAGAACCGTGATCTAGTGCAAATGTGGGAGAACATTCTACAGGCTCTAAACTATCACCCTGCTGAAAAAGACATAGAAACCATAGTGTTTCTGTTGGTTCCTCATGCTTTTGTAATGTGTTTTGGCTTTTTTAATGATTTGATATCACAATCTACAGGATCCTAATGGTTGAACAGGTGACTGACGGCTGATTCTAAAAGTATTTGATGGTTTCCTAATGGGATCTACAGGTGTTCTATAGCAAACCAGTGTTCTCTATTGAAAATCATTAAACCAATTCCCATTAGAAAGCACAGCCACTAGGATTTAATCCTGTCCCTTCAGCAAGGCTGATCACAATAACCTGAAATTCTAGTTTGTGGTAAAATGTTGGGTTACTGGGACTTAAGTAGAAGAACCTTTCTGTGCTATATAGAACCCTTTAAATAAAAGTTCTATATAGAACCATATTCAACACAATCTCCATTAGTCTGGAGAACCGTTTCACCATGCAACGAATCCTTTAAGCAGTTTATTGTAGGTAGTTGGCTACGAAATGTTCTGGAAGAGGAACCAACAAGCCAAGGATCCAGGGTAGATGGGAAAGAACACTCAGAGAATCACATACTGGCAGAACACACCAGCTCAGTGAGTGGGATTCAATGGAGAACCATTGTTCTCTGGGTTTAAGGGTCAACTCAACCAGTATTAACAGAGGAGAACATATGGGCTTGTTGGAGAACGTTGGGTTTGGAACAGAAGAGGCTTCAAACCCAACTCGTTCTCACCATTCATCAGAAAAGAGAGACCACTGGACCGTGAACTTCACATGACGTCACAACATCCGGTCACTCATCTTAGGAACAGCACTTTCGAACATAAATGGACAAACGGGCGGCTCGCTAATCATGGCTAACGAGCGCCGGTCTCACTCCAGTAGGCCTTTACATCAGTGCCCTGCCTTTTAAACTTCATAGGAAATAACGGCTGCTGCCTCTAGATGGAGCCCTGTGTTTAAGTTAAGCATGATCGGGGGTCCAGTGAAGTGTTAAGACCCTCTGATCACCCGGGAGAGCGCTAGCTCTCTGAAGCACAACTCATTTAACAGTCCGCACTTCAATTAAGCTTCTTGTTATTAAGATTACTTCAATTAAGCTTTGGCCGAACGCTTGCTGGTCTGAAAATCTGAAAAAAAAACCCCTCCCTCCGGTCAGCTGCGCTGGCAATTAATGATAAAACAAATTCAAATTATGTATCAAAGGCTCGCTAATTACTAGCTTTTCAGTTCTGTATAGTAATCAATATGTGGGTTCTGACATATTCTGAGCCAAACATTCCAACACGGAGTTGCTGTTTCTGCTTGTTGACCGCAAAAATAATAGTAGCCTCTTGGCAAAATAAGACAAATCTTGATTTGTATGGCTTTGTTTTCCAGCTGGCTGAGGACAGATCTGTCCCTCTGCTCTCCTTTTTGTCCTTGGAGCGATTCCCTCTGTCACGACACTTCATTATCAGCTAGAGTTCTGCACCACTAAAAATCGAACTCCCAGCACCAAAAAAAAAGCCCAATCCTATCACAGCAGCCATCAATCCCTCATTCACGCACACACACACACTGAACAAGCCCCTTCTATCACCATGGGGACGTTGACTGGCCCTCGTCCCCGCTGACCCCAATCAAACCTGACTCCCCTGGTTTCTCCCCGGCGGTTAAAATCACAATTCTTATCGACAATTACTGTTCCTTTCGCTCCGTGGGTGGGTGGGCGGGGACGTCAGACGAAGCTACATGTTCGGGAAGAGTTGGCGGATTACACTAATCACGGCGCATCAAAGTCCACCATCCACGAGGTCTCAAACGAGGGGATCAGCGGTGGCGTCTGCTGTTCTGCCTCTGTGAGATGGATGTAGTGAGAGCGATGCAGGTACAGACGCATATTAAAAACAGCCTCAGACTAAAAGCGCAGTGCTCACAAGGCCGCATGACACCTACATAAGTAATTCATCACAAGTGGCAAACTACAGAGGGGGGCAAGAGTCTATAGACCACCAGTGAAAACACTTCCTCTCTACTTTGATACAAAGTTTTTTCATCGCAAATTCTATTTTCAGCATAACAGTCTGAGCGAACAGTGAATCTTTGAAATTTTAACATGAATTTCTGAGTTTTTGTCCCTCTTGATGTCCCGTTGATGACAGCGTGCACTTGAGCTGGCACAGACTCTGATGAGAAGATCAAATCCACCTGAGGGTCATCTGAACATGAAACTGACAAAACTGACCATTTGTAGAAAGACCTGGTCAGTGTCACATATTTGCTTACACTGCAAAAAATGTGATCTTGTCGAGTGAAATGGTCTTAAATCTGGTCGATGTGTGTAATATTGCCCATTTTGAGATGGTTGTGTATTTAAGACTATCTAGCTTATTTCTAGACACTTTTCAGTTGTTCAATTAATTTTATTAAGTAAAATTATTTCACTATACTGGGACATAATTTTGCTGGTTTCAAGCACATTTTTAAAACAAGCAAAATCATCTTCCATTATAGTGAGATCATTTTACCTAATAAGGGTCAGGGTCAAGTGGAGGTGAGGGTCAGCTGGAGGGTAGGGTCATGTGACTATATTGAGGGTCAGGTGGAGGTAAGAGTCAAGTGGCTTTACTGAGGGTCAAGTGGCTTTACAGAGGGTCATTTAGAGGTGAGGGTCAGGTGGCTTTACTGAGGGTCATTTAGAGGTGAGGGTCAGGTGGCTTTACTGAGGGTCATTTAGAGGTGAGGGTCAGGTAGCTTTACTAAAGGTAAGGGTTAGGTGGCTTTACAGAGGGTCAGGTGGTTTCTTGAGGGTCTGGTGGGTTTACTGAGGGTCAGGTAGTTTTACTGAGGGTCTGGGGGCTTTACTGAGGGTCAGTTAGAGGTGAGGGTCAGGTGGTTTTACTGAGGGTCAGTTAGAGGTGAGGGTCAGGTAGCTTTACTAAAGGGTAAGGTAAGGGTTAGGTGACTTTACAGAGGGTCAGGTGGTTTCTTGAGGGTCTGGTGGCTTTACTGAGGGTCAGGTGGTTTCTTGAGGGTCTGGTGGCTTTACTGAGGGTCAGTTAGAGGTGAGGGTCAGGTGGTTTTACTGAGGGTGAGTTAGAGGTGAGGGTCAGGTAGCTTTACTAAAGGGTAAAGGTAAGGGTTAGTTGGCTTTACTGAGGGTCAGGTGGTTTCTTGAGGGTCTGATGGTTTTACTGAGGGTCAGTTAGAGGTGAGGGTCAGGTGGTTTTACTGAGGGTCTGGTGGCTTTACTGAGGGTCAGTTAGAGGTGAGGGACAGGTGGCTTTACTGAGGGCCAGGCAGCTTTACTGAGGGCCAGGTGGCTTCACTGAAGGGGGGTGTAAAGGTGAGGGTCATGCGTTTCTGCACTCACGTCATAACGAGCGTCTCGTCTCCAGGCTCACTCAGCAGGCCGTCCACAAACACAGACGTGCTGGTGAAGTTGTGGACACTCCACGTACGTCCTTCGTCCACACTGAACCTGAGGACACAGATCATCATCATCACCACCACTATTCTGCACTTAATTACATCATTCGTTTAAAGGGCCAACGTTCTGATTTATCCTTGTATTGTATTTAATTCTCTGTGGTCTTATGTGCCCATTCATTTTCACATGACCACTTTAAATCCTCGAATGCCTCAGAATCACACAGGCAGCTTTTCCTACTGTCCTTTTAAGACTGATATACATAGACGGGTCTGTTCTGACATCATAACCACGATGAATTAAAAAAGCGTTCATGTTTTCCATCAACTCATTCTGTCTCACTGTAATAAGCAGTTATATCAGCTCCCAAATGAACAAATAACATTCAAAATGTATTCAGGATAAAAACTTTATTACAATGGAATTACATGCAATCTTAAAAAAGATGGTTCTTCAAGGGTTCTGTGTTAAAGACAATGGCTTTATAGAACCATGAACACTTAAAGAACCATTTGCAGGCTTAAAGGGCTCTTTGCATGGTGAGATGTTCTTCAGATTGATGGAGAGTGTGTTGCATATGGTTCTAGTCTGAAAAGGGTTTTGCTACTGTTACAATGTCAAGCTTGTAACAACAGAAGAACCCTGTGCTATACAGAACCCATTCAACCTGCAGAACCATTTCACCATACAAAGAACCCTTTAAGCATGCAAACGTGTTCGAGGTTCTATATAGAACCACTGTCTTCACTAAAGAACCCTTGAATGAATGAACGACTTCTTGATGACGCTTCATCCGCACCATGATTACAGTGTATCGTATCACAGCATCATAATCTCGCTGTTTCATATTTCTAGTGCCGTATTAATTTAGATAGGTGATCAATACTGATTTCAGTTATGCCCGTTAACTCTTTATAAGGTCAAACGCTTTGAACTGAGACACTTCATCATTCAGACAGTGATAAGTGCACAGATGTGAATATGTAGAGGTGATGAAGGTGGGAGTCTGGAGGGCTGGAGGCTCTTTAGAGACGCGTCTGACCAAAGCTGAGAAAAACAAACAGTGATTTATATCCTCTCTCTCTCTCTCTCGCTCTGTCCTTTCTCTCTCTCTCACTCTCTCTCTCTCACTCTTTCTCTCCCTCGCTCTCTCTCTGTCCTTTCCCTCCCTCTCTCTCTCACTCTCTCTTTCTCTCCCTCGCTCTCCCTCTCTCTCTTTCTCTCCCTCTCTCTCTCTCTTTCTCTCTCCCTGTCCTGCTTGCTTTCTTTATCTTTTTCTCTCTCTCGCTCTCTCTGTCCTTCCTCTCCCCCCCTCTCGCTCTCTCTCTCCCCCTCTCTCTCCTTTCTCTCCCTCTTTCTCTCCCTCTCTCTCTCCCTTCCTTTCTCTCCCTCTCTCTCTCCCTTCCTTTCTCTCCCTCTCTCACCTTTCTCTCCCTGCCCTGCTTGCTTTCTTTATCTTTTTCTCTCTCTCGTTCTCTCTGTCCTTCCTCTCCCCCCCTCTCTCGCTCTCTCTCTCCCCCTCTCTCTCCTTTCTCTCCCTCTTTCTCTCCATCTTTCTCTCCCTCTCTCTCTCTCGCTCTCTTCCTTTCTCTCCCTCTCTCACTTTCTCTCCCCTTTCTCTCCCTCTCTCTTGCTCTCTCTCACTCTTTCTCTCCCTCTCTCCCCTTTCTCTCCCTCTCTCACCTTTCTCTCCCTCTCTCTTGCTCTCTCTCTCTCCTTTCTCTCCCTCTCTCTCTCTTTATCTCCCTCCCCCCTCTCTCTCCTTTCTCTGCCCTCTCTGACTCTCTCTCTCTCTCCTTTCTCTCCCTCTCTCTTCCTCTCCCTGTCCTGCTTGCTCTCTCTATCTTTTTATCTCTCTCTCTCGCTGACAATTGCTCTTCTTGCTTTTTCCCCCATTTCTCTCTCTCTCTCACTACTTATTATCTTTATCTCTCTATCTTGCTCTCTTTCACAATCTGTATCTCCAACCATCTCATCCTCTCTTTTCATCTCTCTCTTTCTCTCACTATCACTCTCTCCGTCTCATCCTCTCTCTTCATTTCTCTCTCTCACTTTTTCTTTTTATCTCTCTCTCTTTCTCTCACTATCTCTCCATCCATCTTCTCCTCTCTCTCTCTCACTCTTTCTTTTTATCTCTTTCTCTTTGGATCTCACTCACTCTCTCTTTCTCTCCAACCACCTCATCCTCTCTCTCTTCATTTCTCTCTCTCTCACTCTTTCTTTTTATCTCTCTCTCTTTGGATCTCACTCACTCTCTCTTTCTCTCACTATCTTTCCATCCATCTCATCCTCTCTCTCTTCATTTCTCTCTCTTTTTATCTCTCTCTCTTTGTCTCTCACTCTCTTCATCTCATCATCTCTTTTCCTATCCTTTTCTCTCTCTCCCTGTCCTGCTTGCTCTCTCCATCTTTTTATCTCTCTCACTCTCTTGCTGACAATTTCTCTTCTTGCTCTTTTTAACCCCATTTTTCTGTCTTTCTTCTCTCTATTTATTATTTATCTTTATCTCTCTCTATCTCCCTCACTATCTGTCTCTCCATCCTTCTCATCCTCTCTTCGTCTCTCTCTCTCTCTCTCTCACACACTTTTTCTATCTTTTTATCTCTCTCTCATTCTCTCACTATCAATCTCTCCATCTCATCCTCTCTCTTCATTTCTCTCTCTCACTCTTTTTCTTTTTATCTCTCTCTTTGGCACTCACTCACTCTCTCTTTCTCTCACTATCTCTCCATCCATCTCATCCTGTCTTCATTTCTCTCTCTCTCTTTCTCACTCTCATCTTTTTATCTCTCTCTCTCACTGACAATTTTTCAACCACTCTCTCTCCGTCTCTCTCTCACTCTGTCCTTGTCTTGCTCTCTCTCTAGTTATTACTTATCTTTTCATCTCTCTCTCTCTCTCTCTCTCTATTTATTACTTATCTTTTCATCTCTCTCTCTCCCTCTCTCTCTCTCTCTCTCTCCCTCTCCCCCTCCCTCTCCCTCCCTCTCCCTCCCTCTCTCTCCCTCCCTCTCTCTCCCTCCCTCTCTCTCTCTCTCTCTCTCTCTCTCGAAATGTTTCAGCTATGTGAACAGATGAGGAGCCGCTGTGTTCCAGACGTTAGGTGTTTTGCATATGCTGGAGTCTTCAGCGTCTCTCGGAGGAGCCTCGCGGCGACGGTGTCTGTGTGTAAATGTTCTGTAAAGCCCCTCGGAGACTGGGGGGATTACTCGAGAGGGGCTGTGACATTTTTTCGGGAGCTGAATGAATGAATGAATGCGTGAAGCGTCGCTCTCAGGCCAAAGAGCCTTTAAGCAGAGGCGTCAGCATGAGTGAGCGAGGGCGGGGGAGGGAGGGTGGGCTAAGATGAGAGGGGGGGTGCTCTGGAGTCAAGTGGTGGGGGGGGCGGATCTGGAGAGTCTCTCAAGGCCGAGGGTGCCAATGTGGCCTTTGGGGTACTTCACCCAGAAGAATAGAGAAGTAGAATTAGCCTTGTAATCAGACTAAACAGCAGCACTGAGGGGGAGACACTGGGACGCTGAGGGGGCTGCAGGACCCCCGATTTCAGGACTGCAACTGCTAAAAACAACAGTGAGTGTGTTTACATTGCACCTAATCTGAATACCTGCAATCTGATTTTGTCAGTAATCTGATCAACACGTTTACGTGCACTTGAGTACTGACTCTGTTTTATGGGGGGACACAGGGAGACCACTATAACACTGTAAGGGGAGGGACGCTCCTGACCGCCTGCTCCCTACAGCCCTGACAATCACAATCACTGACAGCAGCAGAACAAGTAAAGGAGTCGCATCAAAAAGACTCTCTCTCTCCCTATCTCTTTCTCTCTCTCTCTCTCTCTGTCCCTACCACTCTCTCTCTTTCTCTCTCTCTCGCTGTCTTTCTGTGTCCTTACCATTCTATCCCTTGCTTTATGTCTCTCTCTTTATCTCTCTCCCCCTCTTTTTTATTTCTCTCTCATTCTTTCTTTATCTCTCTCCCCCTTTCTTTATATCTCTCATTCTTTATTTCTCTCTTTCCTTCTCTCCTTTTCTCTTTATCTCTCTCTTTATCTCTCTCCCCCTCTTTCTTTGTCTCTCTCATTCTTTATTTCTCTTTTTCTCTTTCTTTCTCTCCTTTTCTCTTTATCTCTCACTCTCTTTATCTCTCTCTCATGCTTTATCTCTCTACCCCTCTTTCTTTATGTCTCTCTCTCTCATTCTTTATTTCTTTTTCTCTCTCTTTCTTTCTCTCCTTTTCTTTCTCTCTCTCACTCTCTCTCTTTTTATCTCCCTCCCCCTTTCTTTATGTCTCTCTCTCATTCTTTATTTCTCTTTCTTTATGTATCTCTCTCATTCTTTATTTCTCTTTTTCTCTCTTTCTTTCGCTCCCTTTCTTTCTCTCTCTCTCTATCTCTCTACCCCTCTTTCTTTATGTATCTCTCTCATTCTTTATTTCTCTTTTTCTCTCTTTCTTTCTCTCCTTTTCTCTCTCTCTCTCTCTTTATCTCTCTCCCCCTCTTTCTTTATGTCTCTCTCTCTTTCCCTATCACTCTCTCTCTTTCTTTATTTCTCTCTCTGACTCTTTCTGTTCTCTCCTTCTCCCCCTCTATCTCTTTCTTTCTCTCTTTCATTATCTCTCTCTCTCTCTCTCTCTCGATCTGGAGTCTGCTTACGTTAAGTAATGCTCCAGTGAGATGTAAAGACTTACTTCAGGATCTTTAAGGGGATGGACGTGTCTTTGATGGCCACGATGACCCCACCATGGTCCAGATACAGAATGTGGTGCTCCTCCTCAAACACCTGAAACCATAAAAAGACTTGATCAGTCTTCCCTTCTTTAACACTACACCCAAACACAATCTAAAGCTTATAAACCCTCTATAAACCCTCTATGAACAGTTATCTGTCTGTGGATGTTTCTATACGCCAGTGCTAAAGAGAAATGTCCATTTTATGTAAATGAAATGGACAATAAAGTGTTCTATCGTATCCTAAACAAAACACTATTTCTCCACTGAACTGTGCAGGTTTTGAAGTAGTGTACTGTTTTTGAAGTGCACCTGCTGTAATTAAACCGTCCTCATCACAAAAGGCTAAACTAACACTAGTGATACAGCATGAAACGAGGACTTCCTTCTAAATGAGAGAGCATGAAGCCTGTGAGCAGAGGCGTCGCCTGGCCTGAGCCTCAGGGCCTTGAATATTTTTAACAAGCCAAGAACCGTCACACGTTTCACCCCGGCTTGTGTGCACACCCATCTTATCCTCCGTGGGTTCAGGGGCTATAATATTACCAGAGAGAGCGAGAGCGAATGGTAATAAGTGCAAATCTACTACATAAAAAAATCAGTCACTACAAAACAAACCCAACTCAGCGTGAGTAGCTGATAGGTTTACATATATATATATATATATATATATATATATATATATATATATATATATATAAAAATAGATGTATATGAATAGATGTATATAAAGGCTGAGTATAATATTTTAAGGCAAGTTTTTCTGCTATTTTAACTACAATAATCTATACATGACTATGAAATGTATGATTTAAATGGCATAAAGAAAACAAAAACCAAATAAATATTATAAAATATATATTGAAAGTTGTGGTCCCCAGGAGTTGTGTCACAAAATCTCTTATTTTGAAATAAAAATCATACTGAGTGTGTCTCCGATGTGGACTGAATGAAGAATGAAGGGTTTCCGGCGTGATGGTCAGTCCTTAGTGATTTCCTGAGTGTCCATTCACACAGAATGTAGACAGACACACGAATCCACCAGTGTATCTCAGCCCCTCTTCACAGGCTCATAACTCTGGGTGTGAGTCTCGTATGATATCGAGATAAGATGGAATGGAAACGGCGACTCTACAGACTCAGGAACTGTTTGAAATGGATTTCTGAGCTGGATCATCACAAAGATACAGAAACAGACATAGAAACATTGGATTTGATGTGCTGGTGAGTTTGTGGACCCCAGAGAGTTAAAGAAGCCATCAGTTAGAGCTGATAACCTTGGGAGATTCTCTTTGCGTTTAATGATTCTACATCACACTGGATTACTAGATATAGACAGAATGCCTGATAGATAGTTTCCCTGAACGTTTTGTGCAAATTGCAAAAGGCAAAATAAAAATGTGAAAAAACAGTAATGTAATGTATTGGGGTCATTGGTTTAGCGATGGAAAAAGTGGTGGTCAACATGTTTCCATCTGTAATTTCAAGTTTGTCCCTTCAGCCTTCCTGAATTCAACACTACTTACCAATAAGGACGTCTTATTCATTTTCATATTCATTTCATTTTTCAAAGGCTGTAGTCTTTTATAGAGAAGAAAGCAACACCTCAGACTGAAGGGTAGAGACAGAAACAGTGGGAGTGAGAGAGAGAGATGAGGTATGTTAAAGTGAGGGGTGTTGTGGCGAAGCAGGGCTCAGTAGACAGCAGAGTGAAGCGGTGAAGGACATTTACATTCCCCTGAGCTAAACATGGTTTCATTCCGCAGGGAGAAAATGAGGCACAGGAAAAAAATATAAACGGAATAAAAAATATACTGTAGACGCCGAGGAAGCTGGAGACACGGAGACAGTGAGAGAGCAGAGACAGAGAAAGAAGTTTGAGGGAACCCTAATAATAAAACCGACTGAAACTCTGATGTCACACAAACAGTCTGATTTCTTTTAATCCTGGATTAAATTTGCTCTGTAATTATTCTGGACCTTCAGAGACGTCGGTCTGTCCTGAGTGAATGTCAGAGACTCTCACCAGCAGCCTCAGTGAAGATTACCGAACACCGAGCTCAGCCTTTCACTCAGTGACAGGGTGACAGTTTAATCCAGCGTGAACACAAACTCTCTGATTTTCACTGTCACTTTTACTGACTGTTTCACCGACGCTTTCACTGAGGGGCTTACTGTCTCAAGGGGTGTCCCTGTGTCTCAGGTGGATCTCAGTACTTCAGGTGTGTCTCAGTACCTCAGGTGTGTCTCAGTACTTCACGTGTGTCTCAGTGTCTCAGCTGTGTTTCAGTACCTCAGGTGTGTCTCAGATATGTCTAAGTGTCTCAGGTGTGTCTTAGTATATTAAGTGTGTCTCAGTGCCTCAGGTGTGTCTCATGTGTCTCAGTATCTCAGCTGTGTTTCAGTACCTCAGGTGTGTCCCAGATGTGTCTTAGGTGTGTCTTAGTATATTAAGTGTGTCTCAATGTCTCAGGTGTGTCTCAGTACCTCAGGTGTGTCTCGGACGTGTCCGAGTGTCTCAGGTGTGCCCCATTCCTTCTGGTGTGTCTCAGTATCTCATATATGTCTCAGGTGTGTCTCAGTGTCCTAGATGTGTCTTAGGTATGTCTCAGGTGCGTCTCAGTATTTCAGGTGTGTCTTAGGTGTGTCTCAGGTGCGTCTCAGTGTCTCAGGTGTGTCTTAAATGTGTCTTAGGTATGTCTCAGTGTCTCAGGTGTGTCTTAGTATATTAAGTGTGTCTCAGTACCTCAGGTGTGTCTCATGTGTCTCAGTATCTCAGCTGTGTTTCAGTACCCCAGGTGTGTCTCATGTGTCTCAGTATCTCAGCTGTGTTTCAGTACCTCAGGTGTGTCCCAGATGTGTCTTAGTATATTAAGTGTGTCTCAGTACCTCAGGTGTGTCTCATGTGTCTCAGTACCTCGGGTGTGTCCCAGATGCGTCTTAGGTGTGTCTTAGTATATTAAGTGTGTCTCAATGTCTCAGCTGTGTTTCAGTACCTCAGGTGTGTCCCAGATGTGTCTTAGTATATTAAGTGTGTCTCGATGTCTCAGGTGTGTCTCAGGTGTGTCCGAGTGTCTCAGGTGTGCCCCATTACTTCCGGTGTGTCTCAGTATCTCATATATGTCTCAGGTGTGTCTCAGTGTCCCAGATGTGTCTTAGGTATGTCTCAGTGTCTTAGTATTTCAGGTGTGTCTCAGGTGTGTCCCAGATGTGTCTTAGGTATGTCTCAGTGTCTTAGTATTTCAGGTGTGTCTCAGGTGTGTCTTAGGTATGTCTCAGTGTCTTAGGTATGTCTCAGTGTCCAAGCTGTGTCTACAGTGTGTTTCAGTGTCTCACTGTGTATCAGGTGTGTCTCAGCATGTCTCAGAGTCTTGGGTGTGTCTCAGATGTGTCTCTGTCTCACCTGTCTCCACGTTCTTCCACAGTCTGAGGTGATGTACATCTCCTCCTTATACTCAACCAGCTGAGAACCAAGATTACCTGAAAGAAAGAAGGAAAGAAAGAAAGGAAGAAGTTGTTTACATATAGAACATCTGTCAAACTCCAGCAATTAAATACACTCCCTCTCCCTCTCCCTCTCTCTCTCCCTCTCCCTCTCTCTCAGTGTGGTGGTCTGAACGGAACGTTTTACAGTTTTAGACATCGTTCTTTCCCTCCACTCCACACTGACTCTTACTGTTGAGCTCAAGATCGGAAAAAAAACGCTTACTGAGAGGTTCAGTTTCTCTCTTCAGACCAGTACTCAGATAAACACATCTGTACAAGCCAGAGAACAAAGCCTCTGTAACCGCAGTGCAGTTATAGGAGAGATTTATGTCCTGCTTCTCTTTAAAATAACAAGATAAAAGGAAAAAAAGGTTTTTATTTCCAGTGAACAGAAGAATGAACTTAACCATGCTCCACATGCTAATGAGCATGTGTCAAACACAACACAGGCCCGTGGCACAATCCCATTTGGCCCGCATGTTTCCTGCCTTCTGCTCAACGACGAGCTGCACTACAGTTCCCAGCATGCACTATAATGCAATGTGTGCTCCCACCCCCTCCCAAACAAAGATCTATGGGACAGCACCATACAAAATGGGCTTCAAAACCTACTGTACACTGGGGACATTTAAAGAGGTTTAACAGTGGTCTGCAGCTAATGTAGTCTACTGATTTATATAAAATGTATATAAAATATATATATTTATAATATTTATATAAAATAATTCAGTTTATATCACAATACCTACATTTAGAGTCGGTTATTCATTCAGCCTAATGAGAAACTGTAGAACAGACTCAGTTTATATCACAATACCTACATTTAGAGTCGGTTATTCATTCAGCCTAATGAGAAACTGTAGAACAGACTCAGTTTATATCACAATACCTACATTTAGAGTCGGTTATTCATTCAGCCTAATGAGAAACTGTAGAACAGACTCGGTTTATATCACAATACCTACATTTAAAGTCAGTTATTCATTCAGCCTAATGAGAAACTGTAGAACAGACTCAGTTTATATCACAATACCTACATTTAGAGTCAGTTATTCATTCAGCCTAATGAGAAACTGTAGAACAGAGTCGGTTTATATCACAATACCTACATTTAGAGTCAGTTATTCATGAGAACAGCATGGATAAATGATAGTAGGTCACAGTTTTGCATCAAAATGTGTTACATTATGTTTTAAACTTGAGCAACAATGAGTTACCAAGTCATCTAAAAAGGTCGATATTAATTTAAAATGCATATTTACTTATTAATTTCCTTACTATGCTGTTTATTTATTGCTGTCGCTTCGCACTGGAAATACAGCATGTAAAGTAGTGCATGCCAATAAAGCATATTAAACCGATGTAATACACTGCGGTCAGATTCCAGGATCTATTAGCTCATGTTCATTATCATAATTCTATTATTTTAGCAATTTAATTATTGATCTGCTTCATCATCATAAGGTCTCCCCTTGCTCTCTCGCTGCACAATGAAGAGAGTCCTATTAGATTTCAATTATGTTCTGACAAACGATTTTTTTTAAATTAGCTGTGATTAAATGAGCTCATCTCCACATTCAGTCCAGCTGTGGTCAGAATGGTGGAGCCTGTGGAGTCTGCATTACTCCTTTTGAGGGCAAAAACTGTGTTTCTAACGTCAGTCTAATGCAGAAGTGACAGATCTGAGGGAGAGTCTAATGTCCTTTCACATGCAGCCCTGATCACTTAGGCCTTGGATACATGACTGGGCATCTTATAGATGCAGCAGGATGAGTTCTCTTTGGGTGAAGCTTGAAATACAGTCCAATTACCTTTCAGGTGCTGAGAGTTTTTACTGAACTGGGAAAATCTGCTTTTAGTTACAGCACCAGCTGTTTAGCACCAGCGAGTTGGAACTTTTCTTCACTTTTAATATTATTTTGGCATGTTTTATATACATTTTAGCTGTTGTTTCACTTTTATTATTATTTTTTTTCTTTTTAGTTATGTTATTCTTTTATTTTTTACTGCCAATCAGTCTTACATCGTCTGTTTCTTTATTTACTTCATTAATTGTGTTTTTTATTTATTTTATCCTTACCTGATCTGTTATTTATTAAGCTACTATACTACTGGAATTTAGTAGTTTGTTGATTTCTTTCCTTTTTTCCTTTTTTAAAATGTTTTGCACTATGATTATTATTATTTTTAGCACTTGTAATTTTTTTTTCTATCCAACTTCTCAATACAGTACAATCCCTGATCTCTGCATTGGCTCGGCCACATTGTACATAAGGGTCTCCCTCAATGTACTCCAAGTCTAACTAAAGGTTGACTGAAAAGATGTTCCTGACCTGTGAAAGTGAGACCTGATATGCTAAAAGAGTAAAGCATGTTTATGAATTTTGTACTTAAAATATTTATTTACTTACATAACTTCATATATACTATGTCAACACAAATATCTACTTCTGCAAATCAAGTCATCAAAGGTAAGAAATAAATGGATCATAAACACCATGACAGTATACTTTAGCCTAGGATGCATGACAGTAAGTATGCTGGTGTTATTTTCCTTGTTTTGTTGTGTAACTTACAACCCAGCAGTTTGGTTTCAACTTATGTTCTAACATAGTGAAGCGGTCTTCACTGAGGTATAAGTTGAGCCTGTCGTGAGCAGAAATGTGCTCTATAGTGGTGAGTACTGCAGTGGTGGTTGGGTTTATGTGACGCCTGTGCTCTCGTTGATGTGTTCAGTCTTGTTGGTTAGGGATACTGACTGCACTGTTGTCAACAATAGTTTACAGCCAGATTGGCTTAAAATTGGAAAAACACTGCCTGGTCTGATGAACTTTAGACCAGCGTTTTCAGGAGGAACAGAGATCAGTTTCCAGGTTTGAAAATAGCTCATATTTCACACTTTGTCCAAATGTACTGAACTCTCAGGGCAAACTGTCCTGGGTTTGGAAAAGACCGAAGGTGAAAATGAGTGATGAACACCTGTTTTCACACCTGGAGACTCCTGTTCAGGTAAACGTGCACTGGGAGACTCACCTGCACCCATGATGAGTCCGGGGGCGGAGTCTTTAGTGTGAACAGTTCCAGATACATACGGATTATCAGCCCATCTCAGGTGGAGGTGAAGGTGACAGTCTGGCTATGGAGGGAGAGAGAGAGAGAAAAAAGGATGGATAAAAAACATAGACGATGAAAAGAAGAAAAAAGAAAGAAGGAAATACAGAGATAAAATGAAAGAGGAAGACAGAAAGGAAAAAGAAAGAAAAAGGTAAGAGATAGGAAAGAGAGAAGATAAAGACAGATGAAGAAAGAAAGAAAGAAAGAAAGAAAGAAAGAGATATAAAGAAAAAAAATGAAAGAAAAAGACAGAAAAAGGAGAAAGAAAAAGAAATCCACAGAGAAAAAAGTGAGATAAAATAAGAGACAGAAAGAAAATCAGAGAAAAAGAGAAACAACAAAAGACAGAGTCAGAGAGAGAGAGAGAGAGAGAGAGAGAGAGAGAGAGAGAGAGAGAGAAGGAGAAAATGGTAAATAAAGAAAGAGGACAAAGATAAAAAAGTGAGGGAAAGAGGAGAGGAAAAGAAAGACTTTTAGTTTGTATTAGTCACGGCGATCTGAGACGAACACAGTGGACGACGCTGTTCCACCTGGACTGACTCAGATGACCGGCACAGACAGGTCACCCACTGAAACGGCCTCAGACGAGCTCAGACGAGGACTTCTGTGATGGGAAACGGTCACAGGTAGCCGGGCAGGCACAGATAGTTCTGGATTCGGATTTGTTATCACACTGTGCTGTACAGTACTGCCCGGTGGAAAAACACCATTAGCTGTAACAGCGTGTTAAAACGAACCCCCTCCCGCTGTGTGGAGGCCGTACTGTAGCCTGACCAGCCCTCTCTCTCTCTCTCTCTGAGTGTTAACATGCTTCTAAATGGTGCTATATTACAGACACCAAAAGGTGTCTGTAACCCCTTAAACGGCCAGAGTCCACCAGCAGGCCCAAAGTTTTATTACACACTTCTATAACCTAAGAATAGCTCAGATAGTTTGCACTGAAGTCCCTGTAGTTACTGCATAATAAGCCTTAGTAAGCCAGGGGGTTAAAATAATATAGGAGTATATTCTGTGACTTATACTTATTTACTTAGTAATTAACAACACTTACGATGAAAAAGTGAATCTGGAGAAACATCTGTGAAAATTCACTGATTATACTGCTATAGGAACACAAGAGCACCGACCGGACATCATATACTCTTTACTATATTTACTACTCTTTACTATGCACTGCCACTGTGTTTATACGTCCATAAACACTAGATGTTGCACTTTGTTTATATGTACACCATGGTTGGTTAGTGTAGTGGGTAACACCTCTACCTTCTATGCTGTAGACTGGGGTTCAATCCCCACCTGGGTAAACACTCTACACTATACCAATAAGAGTCCTTGGGCAAGACTCCCAACACTGCCTTCACCTACCAGTGTAAAATGATCAAATTGTAAGTCGCTCTGAACAGGAGTGTCTGCCAAATATCATAAATGTAAATAAATACTGGATGTTGTGCTGCCATTTTGTTTATACATTCATAAATATTGCATATTGCACTGCCTTTTGTTTATACACCCAGGCATACTGCAGAACTGCTAACATATGTTATCATTTACAGTGTTTAGTCACTCGGTTCGTTCACTGGACGTGACATGCTCCACTGTATTGTCACCTGCATAATATTTATGCAATTTTACTTATTTTCATACTGCACATTATGTTTTATGGTTATTTTAGTATATTTTATTATATATCTTTACTTCTCTTTATGCCTCTGTATAATAGCGTACGGCAATACTTTTGCTCTTGTTTTGCTCTTTACTGAACTTTGTGCTGCTGTAATAGATGACTTTCCCTCAGGGATTAATAAAGTGATCTGTCTGTCTGTCTGTCTGTCTATGACCAAACTTGAACCTATTTTAAGCACACACAAAAAAAGTCCATGTTACATTTTACTCCCGTTAGTTTGTGCCCCACTCACTCCAATGTAAAATGCAAATACAGCCGTATACAAAAGTTTGAACAGTTTAAAAATTTGAAGTTGGTTGATTTTCTAAGTGAAAATAAGTTAACACATCCTCTATTTATTTGCAAATTTTTACATATTTACATACTATATATATATATATGCAGCATAACAATTGTACAGTCCACATTTTGTTATAATTTTTTCCAATATGTAAAATTCAGTAAATAAACACTCATTTTGCATTAAAATACGCAGAAGTGTGTTCTTTGTAGAAGATGTGCTACATTACACTTATTTACACTTTGAAACTCGACAACAACACAGAATGTGACCAGGGGTGTTCAAACTTCTGCACACGACTGTATGTTTCCATTACGTAACACTTGATTCTGTACAGGGTTACACTGACGTCTACACGTTTAGCCCACATGAATCACGAAACTCAGAAAACCCGAGCTGCTCTTCATCTCGCTCGTCAGCCGGCGGAGATAACGGGGGTCAGCACCTGCTACCTCTCCACCACCCACGATGCCTTGCAGCGTCAGATGAGTCCAGGCTGTGAGGGGTCGTTGGGTTTGTGAGGCTGTTTGTGACCGTGGACAGACAGGACGCCCACATACAGCCTGGAGAATAGAGCGCTAATGCAGACGCTGGACGGGATGGAGTTTAGAGGCTGTCACTGTAAAGGATCAGGGGGTGTTTGTGTGAATCAGGTTCTGCTTCCTCATCTGCTCTTTTCTCCTGATTTGGTAACAACTGTCTTTATTTATAGAGCACTTTTCACAGCGGTGGAAGCTCAAGGTGCTTTACAGACAGGTGATGATGTTTACCAGTAATAGAAGAAACTATAAGTATTAATTTAAAAGCACACAAGACATTGAGTGTGTTTACATGCACTCAATAATCCGATCATAATCGGATTTCTGCAGTTATCCTATTATACAAACAGTCATGTAAACATCATACTCCAATCTGGAAATCCGATTAAGTAATCTGATAAAGAGAGCCGGATTTTAGCTCAGTAATCAGATTTCTCAGTGCATGTAACTCTTACTCTGATTTCTTTCGGATTTCTCAGTCTGCTCATGTGCGAAAACAGACCGCGGTGAAAGAAATAAGCCAGCAGAGTTGCCACGAGACGCAGCAAAACACCTTTGGAGCGACACTGAAACCAAATACATGCTTGATGAAATGAAGGATTTTAATATTCTTCATCTTCTAGATGATGTATGTTTATATTATATTTAAAGTTAAAGTGAGTTGATGTTTTTTTTAAAAAAAGCTGCGGCATGAAGTTTGAGTTTACGTTAAGTTTACGTCAAGTCTTCTTCTGTGAGTTTATTGGCTGGTTGTAAAGCAGAAATCTGATTACTGTCTGACTCATGTAGACCTGGAGTTCCCCCCATTATCTGATTACTCAAGTGCATGTACATGCGTTGATGGGATTATTGACAAAAATCCGATTTTCTACAGTTATCAGATTTTTAATGCATGAAAGTGCACTCACTGACACAAAATTAAAAAGATAAATATAAAAAGACAGAGTTTTAGTTAAACGCTAAGTTAAAGAGACACGTTTTTAAATGTTTATTAAGGCTGTTTTCATACTTGGGCCGTTTCCGTGTCTGTAGTGGACTCAGACCGCTGAGGTTTTCTGTGCAGATGTGAACATGCCAAACAAACTCAGACCCCTCTAAACCCAAAAACGAACCGAACTAAGACCACCTCTTGAGGTTGTCTCGGTTCGGTCTGTTTGTAGTCCGTTTTGTGGTTTGACTGATTTGTGTGTCGTGAAAACAAAACAGCCCCGGTCCGGTTTAGCTTTGCTTTATGGTGACCTCAAGGCTGACCGTACACACAGCCACAGTCTTCAGCACTTCAGCAGGGAAAAACAGACCAAGGGTCGTTTAAAGGTTCTATTTAGGATAAAGTCTGTCCATGATCTGCGACAAGACAGCAGCGCTGACGTATTAAAGCGATAAGATGTGAGAGTCTGTGTGATTAGATTTTTAAGCTGCTTTGACTCCTGAATGAAAATTCACTGCTGCTCTTTTAAATACAGTATTTCATTGCAGACATGGATTTTCGCCGGGAGGAGCTCAGTGAGGAGCACAGCCGAAAACAGAGCCGCCCAGCAGACACGCAGGGTCATTTCTCCAATTTTGCACGATGCACTTCGGCCAATCGCTTCATTACGAATACGAGAGCAGCAGGCCTGTCTGGTGGATCATCTCTCCACCTGAAAGGTCAGATTTATCAGAGAACGCTGCCCACTTTGCGAGCGCTACGCACCCCGTGAGTGGCGTAAAAGGGGTTTGAGTTCTAATGGAGTTGTGTCTGAACAATAAGTGGTCTCAGAGATCTCAAAGGACCAGAAAGAAAACTGAGTTCTCACAAAAAGAACACAAAAAGAACTGATGTCATTTGCAGTTGGTTCCCTTTCATGTTCTCTTTAACAGAACTCAGTTTGGTTCTTTTATAAATAAATACTGTATGTGTGAAAACGCCCTAAGTTCCACAGTTTAGACGCAGAGTAACAGAAAGTCCACGTTTTCTGGAGAGTTATGATGTCTGGTCCACCCAATATGCTTGACCTTCTCTAGAGTTTGGCAACATCTGTTCTCTGCGGGAGCTCTGGCCCATTGTCATAGCTGGTCAACTTTGGGTGAAAGAATGTACAGTAAGGGTATATTCGCATATACACTATATGGACAAAAGTATTGGGACACCTCTCCTAATTATTGAGTTCAGGTGTTTCAGCCACACTCATTGCTAACAGGTACATAAAATGAAGCACACAGCCTCGCAGTCCTGATAGACAAACACTGGGAGTAGAGGGTCGTACTGATGAGCTCAGTGACTTTAAACATGGCACTGTCATAGGACGCCACCTCTGCCACGAGTCAGTTTGTGAGATTTCTGTCCTGCTAGATCTGCCCCAGTCAACTGTAAGTGCTATTATTGTGAAATGGAAGCCGCCAAGTGCTGAAGTGCCTATCCTCTGTTGAATCACTCACTAAAGAGTGAAGAAGAGTGGAAGAACTTGACTGGCCCTCACAGAGCCCTGACCTCAACCCCATCCAACACCTTTGGGATGAACTAGAACAGAGACTGTGAGCCAGGCCCTCTCGTCCAACATCAGTGTCTGACCTCACAAATGCGCTTCTGGATACTGGGTAAAAATTCCCACAGACACTCCAACATCTTGTGGAAAGCTTCCCAGAAGAGTGGAAGCTGTTATAGCCACAAACGGGGGCTGACTCCATATTAATGCCTAAGGATTTAGAATGGGACCTCACAAAAGCTTCTGTGGGTGTAATGTGTAGGTGTCCCAATACTTTTGTCCATATTATGCAGCTCTTTTAAATGAATTGAATTGAGTTCTGTTAGGGAACCAGCTGCAAATGACCTCAGTGCTTTTTGTGTTTACAGTGTAAGTGAACTATAAAGAGGTTTTCTTTCTGGTCCTTTTTTTAGCACTGATGAGATCTCGGACCACTTCTTGTTCAGACCACAACTCCATTAGAACTCAGACCCCTTTCACTCCACTCACAGTGTGCACAGCGCTCGCAAGTGGGCAGCGTTCTCTGGTAAAACTAACCTTTCGGCTACCAGTACCAGTTTAGAGGCAGAATAACTGAAAGAGTCTCTCCACGTTTTCTAGATTTTATGGAAGGTGTTCGCAGAAGGTCACTATCGGCAGGTCTAAGATCACATGCTGGGACATAGACAGATGCTGAGTGATGTAAGCAGTACTTTAAGATCATTTAGAGCCTTAAAAACTAGAAGCAGAACTTTAAAGTCTATTCTAAAAGATACAGGCAGCCAGCGTAGTTCTTTCAAAATGGGAGTGAACTACAACACAGTAACACCAGCCTGGGTTACTTCACAAACCAGTAAGCCAGATAAAAAACATCAGCTACCTGAGAAAATGACATTAAACCAGAAATCGTTGGAAAGAAAATGCTGAATCAGGAGGCCGGACAGGGTGGAGCTTCTACCTGTTTGCAGTTGACAGGTTTGCCGTTCATGTCAGTGGTGGGAGGAGCCAGGGGTTCCCAGTCCCGCCCCTTATTATAGGTGATGAGGGTCGTCACCTTTCCGTCTACTTTCTGATTGGCTAGGAAGACGCCTTTGATCCCGCGCACCTACAACAGACAAAACAGAGTGTAGAGTCCTGAAGAGACACAGCACTGCACAGTTTAGTGCTTAGAAGTCCCAGTTAACACTGGGGAAAATAAGAGATCCATCAATGTATACCAAGTTCTGTGGAAACTTTCAATCTGCACCAGCAGAAGATATTTTACACAAATTTTTATTTGCAAAAGTTCTTGTGTACATTTTTCCCAAGTTTTTGACATCAAAACAAACAAAAATCAAAAGTGCTACCTTGACCAGATTGGCACAACCTGAATATCTATTGTGAATGTTGTTAATTTTATTCATAATTCTAATTAAATAGCGCACTCTTAAAAATAAAGGCGTCTAAAAGATTTCTTTGGAGCGACGGCGAGAAAATACACTTTTGGTTTTCCCAAAAAAGTAAACCTGAATTCATACCCATTGACCAGTTGTGCCGCATTTAACCCATCCATGCAGTGAAAGACCCACACACACTAGAAGGCAGTGAGGACACTTGCCCGGAGCGGTGGGCAGCCCTGTTCACGGCACCCAGGGAGCAGTTGGGGGTGCCTTGCTCAAGGATACATCAGTCATGTCCTATCAGCTCAAGGGACTGAACCAGCGACCTTCTGGTCACAAGGCTGGTACCCTAACCTCCAGCCCATGACTGCCCCTGTGTAGCTGTGTAGATGTCTGGACTGTGCAGTAGGCTGTTGGCTAAAATAGATTAAAAACCTATCAAATATGGGGTGCAGATCTGTCCTGCACTGTAAAAAATGGCTCTTCAGTTCAACCTAAAAAAATACTTCATGTGGCAACAAGTAAATGAACTAGTTTTGTTCAACCTGAATAAATACTTTGAATAATAATGAAACTAATTCAAATGCTTGTTGTAAAACTTAAGGATAAAAACTCAAAACCGAGGCAGTGAGCCCGTTTTCTTTTATTGGTGGAGCTGATAGCACCAGAGGCTAGCGCTAGCTTAGTGAGCAGGCTAAGCTAAAACAGCTTCACATGCACATGAACACGATTCCAGCTCACGAATCCTCTACTGACTCAAGTTTAGAGGACTAAAAACTCCAAAAATGAGTGAGTGAATCAAGCGACTAACGCTGGAGTGACAGAAACCCGGATGGAGAGCATATATCAGTCCACTGACCGTTTGCCACTGCTGGACCACTCAGACTACTGCCCTGCGTACAAGATCTAACCAGTTTTTAATCTTGTCAAACAGATTGTAAAAGCACACAGCCTTTTTTAGGAAAATAAACTAATATACAAATATTACAAACAACTGAGAGGGAAAAAAACGAATGACTAGGCCTGATATGAAATGATTTTGTTGAAAGTGCTGTTGCTGACACTGTGCTAGTTTGGTTACAGCAGTGTAATCTGCTGTATTTTGATACTACTGTTAAGATTCTTTACTACACTAATTAACAAATGATAATGAAAGAAAAAGAGCAACGAAAAGTGGAATTTTGTCTAATGCTCTGCTTAAACACCGGTGGACCGCCTGGAAAATGGTGAGCATAACGAGAGGCAAGTGGGTGTTTACAATTTGCATCATTAGGCATATTTATTAACTTTGCATTTAATGAGTGCTGAGGTTTAGATGCTCCTGTGCCATTTTTACTAGTCTCCTGATCATAACATATTAATGAGAAAACTGCTATTCAACATACTCTGATCAGGCATAACATTAAGTCCACCTCCTTGTTTCTACACTCATTGTCCATTTTATCAGCTCCACTTACTATATAGGTGCACTTTGTAGTTCTCACAGTTACAGACTGTAGTCCATCTGTTTCTCTGATACTTTGTTAGCCCCCTTTTACCCTGTTCTTCAGTGGTCAGGACCCCCATGGACCCTCACAGAGCACGTACTATTTGGGTGGTGGATCATTCTCAGCACTGCAGTAACACTGACGTGGTGGTGGTGTGTTGTGCTGGTACGAGTGGATCAGATACAGCAGTGCTGCTGGAGTTTTTAAACACTGTGTCCACTCACTGTCCACTCTATTAGACACTCCTACCTTGTCAGTCCACCTTGTAGATGTGAAGTCAGAGACCACAGCTCATCTGCTGCTGCACAGATTGTGGTGGTCATCCTCTAATCCTTCATCAGTGGTCACAGGACGCTGCCCACAGGACGCTGTTGGCTGGATATTTTTGGTTGGTGGACTATTCACAGTCCAGCAGTGACACTGAGGTGTTTATAAACTCCAGCAGCACTGCTGTGTCTGATCCACTCAGACCAGCACAACACACACTAACACACCACCACCACGTCAGTGTTACTGCAGTGCTGAGAATGATCCACCACCCAAATAGTACCTGCTCTGTGAGGGTCCATGGGGGTCCTGACCACTGAAGAACAGGGTAAAAGGGGGCTAACAAAGTATGCAGAGAAACAGATGGACTACAGTCTGTAACTGTAGAACTACAAAGTGCACCTATATAGTAAGTGGAGCTGATAAAATGGACAATGAGTGTAGAAACAAGGAGGTGGTCAGAATGTTATGTTATGCACTTTAAAGAAGGGTAAAGAACTTTTTCAAAGTAAATAAAAAAATAATAATAATGCAAATGTTCTATTCTAATCACATGCTTTTCCTAGAACCGTACATCCAAGACCCATTTAGAAACCTTTATTTAAAAGAGTGTAAGGCAATATAACAGTAATAACTCCAGACATCTAAGGGTTGCTTTACCCTCTCCAGCACAGCTGGATCAACTCGTTACAGACTGACCAATGTGAAGTTTAGGAATAAGACCAGGCTTGAAACTGTCTCCATTCCATTTCTTGTCAGAAATGCTGCACTGTTCATTCCAGCTGTTCCATGTCTGCTTCTGCTGCAGCCCCCACAGGCCCCCAAGTTCAAGGCCAGCTGACTACTTCAATATCTGTCCACCTCGGTCAATGTCCCTGCACTGGCCCCTGATCTCACATACAGCCCTGATCCTTATTACATCTGGTATTTGCTGAATGACCTCACCTTTGGCTTCTCTCCAGGCCTCACTACTTCTCCACCTCTTCCCTCCTGCAAATGCTCTGACACAGGCACATTATCACTGACCTGTCTGTTCTTCACAGCTCCACTAAACCCGCCATGATCAGTCTGGTGCTCAGCCCAGCGATTTCCTCCCTGTTCAGCCCAATTTTGGTGATTTGTCTGGGATTTTCTAGGATGGCAAATCCTATTTTGATCACGGTATGAAATACAGGGGGTCCTGCAGGTCCAGAGCCCCCTTATTAACCTCTTAGACCCCCTACATGTCTCAAAATCACAAAACTTAAGACATTATGCTATCATTGTTTAGCTGTTTCACCTACAATCAGTGAGCTTCGGTCTTTGGTATTCTTCACCAACTAGAGCTGCAGCACTGCTCTGCCTCAGGGTGGCGCTGTTGCAGACTGGTTCACCCAGTTGGTCCTTCACAGCCTAGCAACTGTAACTATGGCCGGGATTCCTCTGAAAAACTTCACCATATGCTGTAATCTACACCGATCAGGCATGACATTCTGACCACCTCCTTGTTTCTACGCTCATTGTCCATTTTATCAGCTCCACTTACTGTATAGGTGCACTTTGTAGTTCTACAGTTACAGACTGTAGTCCATCTGTTTCTCTGATACTTTGTTAGCCCCCTTTTACCCTGTTCTTCAGTGGTCAGGACCCCCATGGACCCTCATAGAGCAGGCACTATTTGGGTGGTGGATCATTCTCAGCACTGCAGTAACACTGACGTGGTGGTGCTGTGTTAGTGTGTGTTGTGCTGGTACGAGTGGATCAATCGAGCATTATGTATCTGGGTTTTTTGTTGCTTTTCTTCCATTGTACCAAACTGTGATATCCAAACCGCAGTGTGAACTGATCTGTGACTTCCATTTACTGTTACACCCCTGTGTACAACATATACAACACATTTTCCATCAATCTGAACAAAACAAACCTTTTACAATGCAAAAAATTATAATCAAAAATGGCTCTGAGTGTTCATGGCTCTATATAGAACCACTGTTTTTAATAATGAACCCTTGAAAAACATCTTTAAGATGTCTTTTACCACAAAAGCTGGCACTACTCTTACCCTGCTTTTCGGATATTTCTCCACAGGGATTGGTGTAACCCTAGAAGCCATGTTTCTTCTCATATACTAAGTTTCATGAACCAACCATCTGACCCAACCTCCCATCCTTGCCTCTGTGATCTCACAGTGTTATCTACACTGACCCACTGATCTTCACCATCAAACGCTGACCTTGGAAAGGACCACCTCTTTTTATGTTCAAGCTAAAATCCATTCTCAGCACGAAAAACCTTCAACAGTAAGATCTGCTTTTCATTATGGGAACCCGTTCACTCCTTTCTCCTCACTGATTCCGCAGCCCTTTGCAGCAGGTTCTCTCACCGAGTGGTTACCTTTTAGAACAGGTTTCAGGTGCAGCATCTTTAGCCTCCTGACTGGGACCATGCCACCCAACTTCTCAGATGCTGGTATGGGATGTAGCTAAATCCAGACACGTGCAACATCCGCCAACGTCACAAACAGCCAGCATTAATCTGGGGTTTGTCATCTGGAGGACCTGCTTTCTAACAGGTAGTAGAAGCTACAGCAGAACTCCAGCTGATGTTTCTTAGTGTTACCACCTCACTGCACAGTAAAGGCATCTTCACTAGCAAAATGACGTTATGGCATAACTGTGGTTTAGGACAGAAGTCTCAAGTCTGCACTCTCAACCCCCGAGTCAATTCCCAAGTCAAGATAGTCAAGTCTCGATTCAAGTTCTGAGTCAGTACAGGCAAGTTTCAAGTCGAGTCCCAAGTCAAGAGTCCTGAACAAGTCAGTCTGCATTCTTTGGCTAATTAAAGGCCACAACACTGAATAATGGTAACAGTACCATAGCCTTTCAATAACAGCATGTTAGTAGTGTATGACTGTATGTTATTATTTTTTTTATTGTTATTATATTTTACCCTTCTAATTTAAACACAAAATCCCTGGTTCACAGATAACTATGACAGGCATACTGTACACACAAAGCATAGTGCAGCTACACATGAAAAGAATTTGAAAAGTATTATTAAACTTAAATAATAATAATAAAAATTTTTTTAAAAAAATTCATATTTTCGGGAACGTTGGGCGCACAGGATTAAAATAAAAACTAGTCAGCCACCTAAAAACAACTGTTCATTTGAACTGAATTAAGATGAGACCAAAACCAAAATGACCAAACTGAACAATGTTTACAGAAAAGACAGCAAAATTATGGTGACTGTTCGAAACTGAGGTTGACTTTTTTGCCAGCAGCTTCTTATTTGAATTTTCCATTCCACCTTAAATGGTGCAGCATTTATATTCTGGTGTCTAACTGCTGCACCATTTAAGGTGGAACGACGAATTCATCTTCAGCCTTGTGGTGAATCTTGTGTTTGTTTTATCTGTAGAAGCTCTACGTTTCTTCCACTATGGGTCTTTCCGAGTCAGGAGGTTGAAGTCCGAGTTAACGTCCGAGTCGCTGGTGTTGAAGTCAAAGTCGAGTCGCAAGTCTTTCTTGATTTTCTCAAGTCGAGTCTCGAGTCATCAAATTCGTGACTTGAGTCGGACTCAAATCCAAGTCATATGACTCGGGTCCACGCCTCTGGTTTAGGAGAATGACCACACCCATCCTAAATCCTACTAATCCTCCTCTCTCACTTTCGTTTCCTGTGATGAAACATTTGCATCACCATCCATCTCCCCTGTTTATCTACACGTTCAGTCTCTCAGGGACGTGAGGTCATCTAGAAGATCTCCAGCCCAAGAGTTCCCCTTCCATTTACAGTCCTGTTCCACTGCATCAACCTCAGATAAAAGCTCATAATAATAATCTGCACTTTCACAATGAAACAAGTAAAGAAATGAAGTTCAATCCATTTATGACCATCTTACAAAACAGAGGCAGAAAACAATGGAGCTGTTGCTGAAACAGACTCCCCATGATATCCAATTGGGATTTCCACCAAATCTCCCAGCACGCACGCTGCCGCAGTCGTCTACAGTTTTCGGCGAACCGTGAGGAGAAAGCAGTGAGTGCTGAAGCCACATAAGGTCTCTGCTGTTTGTAGGAACTCAAACCCACTCAAACGCTGCAGGCTTATCGTCCTCAATGCAGAAAGCTACGCTCACTCACTACACCACACCAGCGGCCTCCAACGCCGATCGTTCTGCGGAACAGGATCGCTGCTAACCACAAACAAAAACGGCTGACAAAAATGATTTCACATCCACAAGAAACACATTAACCCACACGCAAACAAACTCAGCCCCCTGACAAGGATGAGCACCCACACACATAGTATAGACACATTAGCATAAAAAGGGCACATGGGCACCGAGCTGGTTTAAACACTGAAACGAAAGTGGATTCAGTAACACTTTCAAGTTCTAGATAGTTTCCACACTCATTGTCCATTTTATCAGCTCCACTGACCATATAGGAGCACTTTGTAGCTCTACAGTTACAGACTGTAGTCCATCTGTTTCTCTAAATACTTTGTTACCCTGTTCTTTAATGGCCAGGAGCCCCACAGAAGCCCCACAGGACCCCCACAGGACCCCCACAGAGCAGGTACTATTTGGGTGGTGGATCATTCTCAGCACTGCAGTAACACTGAATAATAATACCTAAATAATACCTGCTCTGTGGGGGTGACTGTGCAAATATTAATTTACACTGAGTTGTTCTTTTAAGAGGTAACGCTGTAGCCTCACAGCAAAAAGGGTCTGGGTTCGATTCCCCGTCCGGGCGACCAGGGTCCTGTCTGTGTGGAATATGCATGTTCCCCCCTGTGTCTGCATGGGTTTCCTCCCACGGTACAAAAACGTGCAGCCAAGCCAACTGGACACTAAGTTGCCCGTAGGGTGTGAGTGTGTACGCCTGTGCGTCTGCCCTGCGCTGGGATAGGCTCCAGCTCCCCCTGTGACCCAGGAGGATAAGCAGCTTAGAAAATGTGTGTGTTTGTGCGTATATTCCTTTAAGATCAGAGTTCCTGACCTCCAGCACGTCGATGAGAACGTTCTCTTCGGGCTGCTTGGTGCTGCGGACGTTCTCCAGAACGATGGAGTAATAAACGCCCTGCGGATCCGACTCATACAAGTTGTACGTGTCCGTCTGGTACCACTCCTGCAGCGCCAGAAGGACCTGGTTTTCATCTGTACTCACCACCTGCACGTCCTGCAGAGAGGGAGGGGGGGGCGGGAAGAGAGAGAGAGAGAGAGAGAGAGAGAGGAATGTAAAACATTACAGCAATAAAGTATCTTAGAACAGCTATTAATGTCCCACACTGACCCATAGTTAACACAGAAATGTGAAAAAGCCACAGCTCTGCCTCTTCAAATGGACATTTGTGACCTTCCTTGCTGTTACTTGCATTTGGGGGCAAATTAAATCAAGTTAAATCAGGACAAGAGAACCACAGCACAATGATGGAGACTGTCTCAGTCTCTTTTTAGCCCAGCTTTATAAAAGGAGTCGTCCCAAACAAACAAAGTGAGCTACAAAGCCATAAAAGTGAAGCTGTTGCGCCACTGCGCCCCTGGCAGGCCTTGCGTGCTTTAACATAAATGAACTGATGATTTAGGAATGTGCGTGGACAGAAAGGCTTGTGTCAGCAAACATTCAGAGTCACTCTAATCTCATCCACATGAAGCTGCACCCAGAGACATGAAAGCTCCATGATGGCTTTCTTTCGTTGCGTAAGCTGACCCGTGTTTCAAGCGCTCTCCAATCGGAATAATAAAGCAGCGCTGCAAAAATTTGCATTTAAAATCAGCTTCGGTGTCCATCAGCGATCCGGCCCCAGCCAAAGCGATTAGACTAAGAAGCGGGAACTTTATCCAACTCTTTAAAGCGATAGTTTGGCCAAAACTCAAACACAGTTTCCCCCTTTAGCCATGTTTGCTGAGGTTTGCTTCTTTAGTTTTAGGACAGGAGCTATGAGGCTAATGTAGCTAATTAGCATCAGCCCAGATAGCAGACAGTTTTGGGCCAATTCTGGCCTTAAATATGTGATTATTGGCTGAGAACCAGACAGATGTTAGGCAGATCGATACATACATACATGAACAGACAGACAGACAGACAGACAGACAGACAGACAGAGATAGATAGATAGACAGAAAGAGACAGAAAGACAGAGAGATAGACAGACAGACAGACAGACAGACAGACAGTCAGTCAGACAGACAGACAGATAGATAGATAGATAGATACATACATAGATAGATAGATAGATAGATAGATAGATAGATAGATAGACGGATAGATAGATAGAGACAGACAGAAAGATAGACAGACAGACAGGCAAACAGACAGGAAGACAGACAAACAGACAGACAGACAAGCAGACAGGCAAATAGACAGAGAGATAGATAGACAGGCAGACAGACAAACAGATAGAGAGATAGACAGACAGTCAGATAGACAGCCAGACAGACAGACAGACCTACAGACAGTCAGAAACAGACAGACAGACAGACAGAGATAGACAGAGATAGATAGACAGACAGACAGATAGATAGGCAGACAGACAGAGTCAGACAGACAGTCAGAGACAGACAGACACAGACAGACAGACACATAGATAGATAGATACATAGATAGATAGATAGATAGATAGATAGATGGATAGACAGATAGCTAGACAGATAGATAGACAGACACATAGATAGACAGACAGACAGACAGACAGACCGACAGACAGACCAACAGACAGACTGACTGACACATAGACAGACAGACAAACAGACCGACAGACAGACTGACCGACACATAGACAGACAGACAGACAGACAGAGACAGACAGAGACAGACAGACAGACAGACCGACACATAGATAGATAGACAAACAGACAGACAGACAGACAGAGACAGACCCACACAAAGACAGACAGACGGACTATTTTAGCATTAAGACCCTGTTTGGCCTCAACCCTACACTGTAAACTATAACGCTGAGTTTACTTTAATAAGTTGGGAATCTGGTTGCCTCAGTTTTACTAAGTAAATTAACATAATATTTCATCATCTATCGCTTTAATGCTGTAATACTGAACATTACATTAAACACAGGGATGTCCTCTTAATACATAGAGCTAAAAGCACAAATCTGTGAGTGTGTAAACAGAAAAGCCTGCTTTGTTCAATATCTTTAAAAATATTACATTTAGCACTTTAAACTCCACCGATCATCTTCTGAAACACAAGACGGCCTAAACGGGGTCGTGATGCTTTTAGAGCTGAAACTGTGACCCTCGGTGACCCGTTTCCCCAGCGACAGAGCGATAAAGGACTTGAACTGGTAAAACTCTGCTAACAGGTGCCCTTTTTGCTCCTTTGGTTACATTAGATTTCTAAATATAAGCTCTGCTCTCAGCGTTTGATGTGGCACTGTTAGCATCATCCAAGCGACGTCCCCTGATAACGACATCATCCCATTTAATGACATCACCTGGCATCATAAGAGCGTCCCCTGATAATGACCTCATCCCAGTGGCGTCCCTTGACAGTGACATCACTCTGGCTTTGTTTGTGGAGTTTACAGCCACGCTCTCATTCTGAACGCCGACGTGAAAGTGGGTCAGGCTTAATTTAGGCCTGGAACATGGAGAGCGTGTTAACACCCTGTGGCTAACAGTTATTCAGAGGAGCTCCCAGCATCCCTACAGGAGCATGAACAGCTTTTATCTAGAAAATGTGGGAGCAGCCTGTAGACAATGTCAGGAAAACTCCATAAGAGCATGTGAAAGAACCTCTGAAAGGAACGAAGACTCAGAAAGGAATATTACTGCCCAGGGGTCAGATCCACCAAAGCTTTCTTAAGAAAAAACTTGCAAACGTTCAAAAGACAAATGCTAAGAGGTTCATAAGAATAGATCTTATTCACCAGTATCTTCCTAAGTTCGTTCTTAAGTGTGTTCTTGAGAAAGGTCCTCAGAAAAAGTCTACGTCAGATTCCCGACGTGTTCTTAAAGCGCAGAACTGTTCTCACCTTTGTGCTCTTGAGTGTGTAGAAGAACAAACCCCTAACAGGAAAACACTGGTGAGTCAGAACCTTCATGAAAACTGCGTGAGGTGAAATTTGGTTGGTGAATGAAGCCCATTATGTTCTTAAATGCAATTCTCAAAAAAAAGTTCTCAAATTTTCTCTTAAGATAATTTTAATCATTTCCTTTAAAAACATCTTCATTGTTTTCTTATGTAGGCTGTGTTGCATTTTACAGCTTCCCATAAACGGCCCAAGATACATTTGAATATGTTTTAACTGTTACGTCTCTTATTTAGTTAAATCCACTCAGAGGAGCAAAATGAGGGAAAAAGATCAAACCAAGCGTTTAAAAAAAGAACTAGAGGTGATGGAGGAAGAAACAGCCCACAGGAGAAAAAATTCTCCTTGGAAAATATGATAATTGTGGGGATGAGGATGGGCAGGAGCAGCAGAGGCAGCGTCCGAGTTTGATAAATTTAGATGTTGAGTGTAGAAGGTTACAGTGGTGAAAGTGTAGGAGGTTACAGTGGTGAAAGTGTAGAAGGTTACAGTGGTGAAAGTGTAGAAGGTTACAGTGGTGAAAGTGTAGAAGGTTACAGTGGTGAAAGTGTAGAAGGTTACAGTGGCGAAAGTGTAGAAGGTTTCAGTGGCGAAAGTGTAGAAGGTTACAGTGGTGAAAGTGTAGAAGGTTACAGTGGTGAAAGTGTAGGAGGTTACAGTGGTGAAAGTATAGAAGGTTACAGTGGCGAAAGTGTAGAAGGTTACAGTGGTGAAAGTGTAGAAGGTTACAGTGGTGAAAGTGTAGAAGGTTACAGTGGTGAAAGTGTAGAAGGTTTACAGTGGTGAAAGTGTAGAAGGTTACAGTGGTGAAAGTGTAGAAGGTTACAGTGGTGAAAGTGTAGAAGGTTACAGTGGTGAAAGTGTAGAAGGTTTACAGTGGTGAAAGTGTAGAAGGTTACAGTGGTGAAAGTGTAGAAGGTTACAGTGGTGAAAGTGTAGAAGGTTTCAGTGGTGAAAGTGTAGAAGGTTACAGTGGTGAAAGTGTAGAAGGTTACAGTGGTGAAAGTGTAGAAGGTTACAGTGGTGAAAGTGTAGAAGGTTACAGTGGTGAAAGTGTAGAAGGTTACAGTGGTGAAAGTGTAGAAGGTTACAGTGGTGAAAGTGTAGAAGGTTACAGTGGTGAAAGTGTAGAAGGTTACAGTGGTGAAAGTGTAGAAGGTTACAGTGGTGAAAGTGTAGAAGGTTACAGTGGTGAAAGTGTAGAAGGTTACAGTGGTGAAAGTGTAGAAGGTTTCAGTGGTGAAAGTGTAGAAGGTTACAGTGGCGAAAGTGTAGAAGTTTTCAGTGCTGAAAGTGTAGAAGGTTACAGTGGTGAAAGTGTAGAAGGTTTCAGTGGTGAAAGTGTAGAAGTTTTCAGTGGTGAAAGTGTAGAAGGTTACAGTGGTGAAAGTGTTGAAGGTTTCAGTGGTGAAAGTGTAGAAGTTTTCAGTGGTGAAAGTGTAAAAGTTACAGTGGTGAAAGTGTGAAGGTCAGTGGTGAAAGTGTAAAAGTTACAGTGGTGAAAGTGTTGAAGGTTTCAGTGGTGAAAGTGTAGAAGGTTACAGTGGTGAAAGTGTCGAAGGTTACAGTGGCGAAAGTGTAGAAGTTTTCAGTGGTGAAAGTGTAGAAGGTTTCAGTGGTGAAAGTGTAGAAGGTTTCAGTGGTGAAAGTGTAGAAGGTCACAGTGGTGAAAGTGTAGAAGGTTTCAGTGGTGAAAGTGTTGAAGGATACAGTCACCAAAAAAAATAATAAATAATAAATACAAATCCACAGCTAATCCTCACAAACGATAAAAGCAAACAGTCGCTTCAAAAGACTCAAACACGCCAATCCTCAGACTAAATGAACAATGTGGATACATGATCGCGTAACCATAGAAACGCTGTAATTCTAATACCAGAGTACACACATGCCAATGTAATTATTAGCTCTAAAAATGAACACAGTAATTAAGTTTAAGTCAGGAAGCCTCGCGTACGCCGCACATTCGCCGAGAGCCATCGAGAGGAACAGCAATTCAACATTTTCAATTATTTACATCCTAATCAGACAAGAATTCTTCTCTGAAATGATATCAATGATGCAATAACGCCTGAAAGAGCTCAACAGTGTGAGGCATGATTGAAGGGGGGAGGTCTGCTCACTCTCG